CTACGTACAGGCCCGTGAAAAGTTCCTTCCGGGTAAGTTACTTACTCGAGAAAGTGAGAAGCTAGAGGACTGGAATTTTGCGGGGATGTTTCCTGACAGTTTTGGCGGCCAGTCTGAAATTCTTTTAGCTAGAAGCATCTGCCGAAAAAACCGGTGCCGATAGCGACAAAAACTGCGGGGAACTCTGCAAAAAAGCATCTTCGCACGAGGAGCCCGTGCGTTGGCCAATTTTTTTTTTTCTTATCTTTCAGATTTATTATTTTTTTACGATTCGTACGAAAATGCATTAAGATTACTTAGATTTTTGGTCGCCGGGACAAGGACAGTTCAGATCGTTCTTTTACTGTTTTATGATTTTTTTTTTTTTCACAAACTAGCTTATTTTGACGGAATTTGATATCCACCTTAAATTTGCTAAAATAATTTAGAGACATTCGTCAGGTCTTAGAAAAAGTCGTTTTTTTAGCAGCTGCAAATTTAAAAATACAAATTTTTGATTGATTTTCGAATAATACTGTAATATTTTAGCTACTTGAAAGACCTGTTAGGCCATTATTTTGTTATTAAATATGCAGCTGACAATTTTCCAGTTGCATTGACCAGTTCTACACCGCCTAGTCAGCCTGTTGAAGTTCCTTTCAACTCCTGAATAGATCAACTCAGCGGTTCGGCCAGCAAAAACGCTTTGCAAGGCTTCAATCATTCCGAGATATCTTTTCTGTGCATTACCACTTCACTTGAGCCTTATCACTTTTAAATTACCATGAATTACCTAAATCAAGGTGGTTAAATTTAACTACCCGCATCTCAGTAACATCAGAGCTTCTTCTTGAAAACTATTCTGGACCGGGAAGGAATCGAACCGTTCCTCTTCACGTCCGGACGCAACGTGTTACCACTACACCACTGGCCCTTGTACAGTAACCAGGGTCAGGTTGACTGCACATCTACTGTTTATCTGCCTTTCTGGGCAAGATACACCTTTTCCTCTTTTTTCTTTGTGACTGCTCCTTGGCCTGCTTTTCGCGGGTTTTCCACGACAAAGGTTTCACACCCATTGTTCTGGTAATGGCCATTTGAGAAAAATAGAAGCTGAAAATCAATTTTGCGAATTTTTTAGATTGGTAAAGCAGTTATTTGAAATGGCGCGAGAGCATAAGCCGTCGATAATCTTTATCGATGAAATAGATTCATTGTGCTCGTCACGCTCAGACACTGAAAGTGAATCGGCACGACGTATAAAAACCGAATTTCTGGTTCAGATGCAAGGGGTTGGCAATGATGCGGAGGGTATCCTTGTACTCGGTGCTACCAACATTCCATGGGTACTGGATGCTGCTATTCGACGACGATTTGAGGTGGTTTTTTTTTAACTGCTCTCAATGAAATTTGCTTATATGCTGTGGTACATTTGAAAACACACTTTACGTTGGGTACTTTTGTAAGTGATACGTTGCCTATTTGTTGTTTCAAAATAACGCGTTTTCGCACGACTGGCATATATACAAATCATTTCAT